AGGGTTACTGGAGGGGTTGTGGGAGAGGGGATGGGCTAAATGGGTAAGGGACATTAAGGAATCTACTCCTGAGATCATTGTTGCACTATATGATAATTAACTTGAATGTAAATTTAAAAAATAAATTAAATAAAAAAAAAAGAATTATTTATTTTACAGATGCCTGGGTGGCTCAGTTGGTTAAGCAAAAGACTTCAGCTCAGGTTATGATCTCACAGTTCATGGGTTCTAGTCCCACATCAGGCTCTGTGCTCACAGCTCGGAGACTGGAGCCTGCTTCAGATTCTGTGTCTCCCTCTCTCTCTGCCCCTCCCCCGCTCACACTCTGTCTCTCAAAAATAAATGAATGTTAAAAAATTTTAAGAATTATTTTATTTTAGAAGAAATCCTTAATGCTAGAAAACATCGTAACTAGTAACAATCATAAAACTGAAATTCACTGTTACTATTAAGGAAATGGGAGTGAGGTAAGCCATTTGCCTAAGGTTCTAAAACTAGTAAACAGTAAAGCCAAAATCATAAACTGGGCTAAGTTCAATATTCAAGTTTTTTGTCTAGTAGAGTACACTCAATCTCTTAAGGAACTTACATTTTTAGCAGTACTACTTAAAACAAATACTGTTGACAGAATAAGATATATATTCCCCTCTGAAACTAATTCAAATGTTTGCAAATATATGTTATTCCTCTGAATTACAAGTTTAGAATAAAGTCTCATTACTTTAAGATGTAAAGCAATATTATGACAGCATATATGCCAAAGATTACACAAACTGTACAGCCAAGCAAAGTTAAAAAATCAAGTACTGACTGAAAGGTTGACATTCTCTTCATAACGTTTCAACGGTGACTGTATTTTCAAGGAGGGAAAAAGAGCTGTTTCTGAACTATCCTTTTAGAATACTTCAGGACATCATCCATTTAGAATACTAAGTCCTGGGGCGCCTGGGTGGCTCAGTCGGTTAAGCATCTGACTTCGGCTCAGGTCATGATCTTGCAGTTCATGAGTTTGAGCCCCGCATCGGGCTCTGTGCTGACAGCTCGGAGCCTGGAGCCTGCTTCAGATTCTGTGTCTCCCTCTCTCGGCCCCTTCCCCGCTCATACTCTGTCTCTCTCTGACTCTCAAAAATGAATAAAATCGTTAAAAAAAATAAAAAAAAAACAAAGAATACTAAGTCCACCACAAAAACAGACAAAGGATCTTTTCCCACAAGTCAAATAAAGATATAACTATAAATAGCAAACATATTAGAAAATACCAAACTTTGCCAATAAAGAAACACAAAGCAATTGATAACACATATGGTATGATAACGTATTTAGCACAATGGTTGGTATACAGTAAGCACAAACATTAGACATAAAAATAACAATATCAACTTTTGCCCAAATTGGCAATGGTTTAAAAAAATATTTAATACATGATTTTGGGCAAGGACCTAGTGCATTTTAGAATGCTAAATGGTAGTGTACCAAGAATCATTTAAAATGTAATACTCTTTGACCCAGTAATTCATAGATTAATGGAACAGAATTGAGAACCCAGCAATAAACCCACAAATATATGGTCAATTAATCTAAGATAAAGGAGACAAGAACAACGAGGAAAAGACAGCCTCTTCGACAAATGGTGCTGGGAAAACTGGACAGCTACAAGCAAAAGAATGAAACTGGACCACTTTCTTAAAGCATTCACAAAAATAAACTCAAAATGGATTAAAAACGTAAATGTTAAGACCTGAAACCAGAAAAC